TGTTTGAGGGGCAGTAACCGCATCTATAAATGTCGACCACTTTGGATAAATCCCATCGGTGAGATAGTATCCTTTTGTGTAAGTGTTTCCATTAACTGTGAACAGAACTTGTGGAGCACGATTATTTATTATATCATCAAACATAGGAGAACGTTGTAGTACATTAATATCGTTGCACGACCCAGGAGTCCCAAAGAAGGCGTGACAAATCCATAAATCCCTAGATGCAACCGCTTCCAAGATAACAGTGGCCGTTTTAGATCGGCCTTGATACATTCCTTTCCATCCAGGTGGACAATTTTTCCATACCCAATGCATGCAATCAATGCTTCCTAGCATGCCGGGGAAGTTTCTATCCTCCCCTTCTCTTAGAAGACGCTGGATATCTTCCATTGTTGGCTTGCGGAGGTACTCAGTTGCAAATTGAGCAATAACTCCATCGACAAATTGTGAAAGACATTCTCTAGCAGTACTTTCACCAAGCTTTAGATATTCATCTACTTGATCAGCTGAACAACCATAAGCTAACATACGTATAGCCGCGGTGCATTTTTGAAGGGGTGAAGCACCAAGACGCATGGTAGCATCGGGACGTTGTTGGAAATAGCAATTACTTGCACTTAATGTGTCCACAATGCGAAGGAACAGGGGTCTCCTCATACGAAACCTCCTTCGAAATACGGTATCATTGTATACCGGTTGATTACTAAAGTAATCTGCAACTAGATTGTCGTGAGCCGCTTCACGATTTCTAGGCACAGTTACCCTTCGTTTTCTCGGACATTTTTGCTTTTCAGGTTGTAATGAATTAAGCACTGAATTTTGCATCGCAACTAAACGTTGACTCTCATTTATAAAATTCATGACCATGTGATCATAAATTTTATCAGTTATACTTGAGGAGGAAGAGCTTGAAGAACTTGAAGAGATTGAATCTAAGCTCATATTGTGTTTGGTGTTTTATTTTTGGTGTGTTTGTTTGTGACACTAGAAGATAGAAATCATGTACTTTAAATAGACAAAAATAGGATATTGTTGGTCAGAAGATAAGATTTTGTTAAAACATAATTGGTGCACATAAGATATGGATAAGATAAGGATTGTATGGTGAGAATTATGACCAATGCATGCAGAATTTTGTAAGGTCAGTTTTTTTACCAATGCATGCATGAGTCTTGTCAAAAGGTAAAAGAGACATCATAGTTTTAAAAATAAATTAAAATACACTAATATTAATTTAATACATAAACAACAATAACAACACTACATAAACATCAACATTACTAGTAGCACAAACAATTTTTTAAAAAAATAACTTGCGTACCTTACAATACTTAATTAAAATACAAACATTGCAAATACTAAAATGAAATTAAAGCGAAAACCTACTACTAAATTCGTCTCTCAGTTTGTTATACATTGCTAATTCCTAGTCATCAAGAACGGGCTTCTGCATTAACCTTTCTAACATTCTGAACTTCATGGCCTCCTCCTTCTGCCTTTTCTTTTCTTCTACCCGGGCCTTTTGTTCTTCATCTCGTTCTCTCATCTGATCAAGTAGTCGCCCTCCCAATTGACCCAATTTCTCTCCCATGTCATTAAAATTTGTATTTAAAGAGTCAAGATTTACACTTGACGAAGTACTTGATGCTTTACCTTTCATCTTTGTCTGTTTTATGCCAAGAGGTCTTTTAGCCCTTCCGCTAACCTCACACTGTGAATCGGGTTGGGATCTTTTACCGCTCCCCCCACTATCTGTAGATGCTTGACCACCCGGTAACATATCGGACTGAACTTTGGACAAGGAGGGATCCCATTTGGGGTATTTCCTCAGAATTGCAAAACAATGCAAATAACAAAACATCTTATTGTTAGTTGCTTTGTAATCTATGTGAGCGAATCTCTCCAAATTTTGCTCATATTCACCACTACCCTTAGTTCGAAAATGATAACCGTAGGCGTCAACCCATTTACTTACATGTTCATTTATGTGATCCCATCGATTTTGCAAAGATTTAACGTTTCTTACCTTAATCTCATTGAGATTTTCAGCTCTAGCCTTTTCGTACTGGTTGTGAATTTCTGCCCATAACCCGCTTCTCTTGGTCTTGGTTCCCCTCTCCACATCGCCTCCTGCATTTATATAGGCTGATACAAGAGCTTTGTCTTCGGCGATACTCCATGCTTGGTTTTTCCTTTGTGCAGATGTATTGAGTTGCACTTCTGGAACAATTTCGACTTCAGCATTGTCAATGTCTTCAAGATGTTGTGGTCCCGCTAATTCTTTAACATGTTCACCACTTAACTCTATTGGAGTAGCATTGCTACTACAAACTCCACCTGGAGATTGATTCATATTTTGAGTTAAATGTTCTGATATAAGGAAAAAAGGGGTATTACCAAAAGCTTGTTGATAGGATTGGGAATTATGAGGAAAATTTGGTTGTATTGGTGGAATATTATTGAAATTTGTTGGTCTTGGTTGACTACTACACCATTGAAAAAATGCAGCTTGAATTTGAGGATTACTCAACAGATTAGGGTCAACAGGAGGATTAGATTGCTTAAATTGAAAGTTTGAATTGTTAGGAAAATTCGGGTTACGACCGTAATTAGAATTATTACGATCCATATTGAAGACTCTAAGAAATTGGAAGTGAAATGGAGAAAAATAAACTTGAAAATATGGAGATTAGAATAATTTTGTGTTTAAGAGTATTGTACAAGTGAAACTGAAATTTTGTGAAAATATAGCAAATTTATACTGATTTTATAGACAAAAAATTTTTATGACCGTTGGTGTTTTCGGATTTCAAAAATAAGTTACCGTTTGCAAATTATAGCCGTTATAATATTTTGGAGCAAAAAAAAATAAAGAAACAAGATGTTGACAAGTGTCAACAAGTTGAGCGTTGGATGATTTCCAATATAGCCGTTGTATGCTTTTGTTTGTGATTGTTGAATTAACATGGCACTTGGGCCGAGGCGAGATTTCCTTTCCAGATCCTTTCCCTAACAGTTATCTTTCCCAAGTAATAGCATCCATCAGGATTGGGAAAGGACACCAAAAAGCCACGGAAAGGATTGTAAAAGGCCTTGATGCTGGTGCTCTTAGCCCGTGCAATAGTGTAATCTCGTATTTATGTTCACTACCTCAAATGATCCGTTCAATATCGCTATGGGCTATGGGAGATGATACACATCCAACTGATACAAGTCACATGCAACACGGCAACACTAAAAATTGATAACGCAAGACGAGTATTAGCTAAAAAAAATGAGAGGGGCAACTGATTAGGAAAAAAAAAATAGTTTCTGGCGCCATTTATCAGAAGTAGGCGAGATGAATTTCATTGGCATCGAACAACCTTGTTACTAAAAGAATATTTTATATTAGAAATAGAGACAAATTTTTGTTATTAGAGATAATAGCATCACTAATGAAAATATATGTTTTTTATAAGAATCGAATTATACTTCATCTGACGTTGTTTTACAAACTACAAATCATAGAATCGTTACAAAAAAGTAAAGCCAATGAAATTATTTTTTAATAATTTTTTTAATAGACATCCATATCGCTATATTTCGAAAATGTTATGAAATTTGTGATCTTATGAATAAATGTTACTCCTAGTAATTAGTTGTTATTTTTACTACTAAATTCAAACATACTAACAAAGTAAAAAAATATATTTTTATTACATACTAGGGTGGCCAACGCGCGCATTGCGCACTAGTAGCTAGCCCTTATAAGTAAGTTTTATTGGCTTGTTTATACTCTTGACGACAAGGCATGAACGTCTAAGGAAAATTTCGTATACTACGCATAAATTTTGAGTTTTGTAGAAGTTTTATATTGTCAAAGTTTTATATTGTATTTTGGCCAAGAAAGTTAAAAATTATACGAACTAGATGAAAATTAGAAGCAAGGCACCAAATGAATGAAACAAATTTGTAAATCTGTACAATAAATTGTAACTGGCTATCATTATCCATTACTAATCAATTTGATTATAATTGGAAAGCATAGAAAAGGCGTCTTACCTATCTATGCAGCTAAGCCCTAGGTTTGAGCAAGCCAACATCTCTTGAAGAATTAAATACTACTTCCTTCCATGATGACTTGGATGAGTAAGATAATTTCAAAATTACTAATGATGAAATCTGCAGTACATCTATAGCTGGCAAATACCATCCCATGTCGGGGTTAAAATTATTGTTTCTGTTATTGAACGAAGAGCTCGAACATAAGATTAAGTACCCTGAAGCCATTTCTTATTTGATCTCAATAAAAGAGTTCTTACATGGCACATAGATTTAGATTAAGCCTAGTATTGCGAAGTACATAGATATATATAATGTTTTGCAAAAAGTGTCCTTATAGGGCACGTTTTTTTTTTTTCCCTGGTATAAATATATAACTAAGGACAAGGTGCTATTTAGAGCATACACAATGGTTGCCCAACCCCATCTTGATTATTGATTATTTTATTATTTTATCCATCTTCCACCTCACTTATAACCGCTCTTATAACCATTTAATAACCAATGTATGCCAATAGTTAACCATAATATTTTGGTTATACATTTTCTCTCTCCTACTTTTACCCAACCCCACCACACAATTTATTACTTAAATTCTATTATTATTAAATAATGCATTTGGTAATAATCGTTCAAAATTAATAATTATTTATTAGCATACATTAATTGAGATTTTGTGAACCGTAATTCGGAAAATTTTGAAAATTTGTATCTAAATCTGAGTTGAGATCAATTGGAAGATTAGAATAGTAAGGTTGAGGATTTGGATTATTTTGGGGCTGTGATGAGTTATGAGATTTTGTGGATTTTTTTTTTCTGTTAGATTTTGGAATGTTCATCTTAACACAATTTGCCAATAAGAAGAGTAATTTTCACTTAAAAAAAAGTTGTTTCAAAATACTTCAATATTGGGCTCATTTTATAGAGAAAAATAAAATAGAGCCGTTGGTGTATTTTTTTTTTTTTCAGAATTGTATTTTAAAAATTATGGCCGTTACAAAAATTACAACGGTTATAAATTCAGAGCAAATCTCAACCATTGATATTTGTATTACGTGTCAAAATCTTAGCCATCCATGTCAACCAAAAAGCAAAAAAAAAATTGCATGACCATATACATAACCGGTTATTTGAATAACCTAGTTATTCAATTGATACCTCAATAATTTCTCTCTCCTCAATATTTTATTAATATTTTCATTTTCTCTCTCTTAATAACCACCCAAATAGTTAATGGCTGTGGGTACTCTTAAGGACAAACAACTGCTTGTTTTGTTGTTGTAGCTCTTGCATATTTAGTCATATTTCAATCTCCTTGATAGCCCATTTGAGGACCCCGATTCTAGTGAGAGAAGTTGTTGGTGCAATTTTGAATTGTATGGTCTTCGTCCTCAGGTTAGTAGCTATTTCTTCAAACTCCGGTCAATCACCCTGTCCAATAACGCAGTTAATGTTTTTGTTTAGTATTAATTTGAAATTTATGGCCTTTGCATTTTTTTTCCAGTTCTTACCGCCAATTTCTTCTCATATATCTCTGAAGTTGGGAGACCACTGAGTTTTTCCCAGTCTTCAGCAAAAGCAGTGAGTCTTAGAGTCCCAGTGGCGTCACTCACATCGAATGTGAAATTAACCCTGTGTGTGAAGGGACATTAGTATTTTGGTTGTTGTAGTTGTTGAATTGGTTGATTTTAATTGTTTCTTACCTGACTGTAGCAGTACACTTTTTTTTTTTTTATAGCAATTTAGGCATTTGAAAGTTGTGTCCCTTGCTTCTTGGCAGCGCTTTCCATAGTTGTTACATCCTAAGTAAGCAATCAGATTTTCCAACTGAGCATCAGGGATAGTGGCTTGTATCCAATGGCGTGCTTCTTGCATTGTGTTTCCAGCCTGCAATGTTTGAAAAAGCTTCAGTTATCTGTTAATAGGTAGGTATTGGGTAGCTATCGGGGTGGGGGTTGTTGTCCTTACATTTTTCTGCTCAATGTCACTGATAGTTTTGGCTGCTGTTGTTCTTGATGGTGTTCTGATATGCAGTATTTTTGTAGCCTGGTCAAGAAGCATTTCTTGTTTTTCTTTCATCCTAGGATGTTTTAAACGAATTTAGTAAAATTGATTAGCACTACATATTGTAAGTGCGGTGTGTTTTTCATTGCTTACCATGTTCGAAGAGCATGTGCTTCCTCCCCAGTAGGATCTGAGATGATAGTAGTTGACATTGAGCTTGCAAGGGAGAACCCTACATGTTTAAAAGGTTTTGAATTATGCATTGTGTTAAGGTATGTTAGCAATTTGAGAACAAATGATAGGCTACCTTTATATGTGGTTGGTCGTAAGTGTGTGAAGGCTGCAACTATTGGGCTTAGCACCCAACCTGCAAGCTTCTCGGTGTCAATAACAGCAAGGCCTCCCCACATTGAGATGGTGAGCGGCTATTCAGTTCTGTTTATGATGGCATATAGAGTTAGGGGTAGTTTTGGAGTTTTGTTTAAATGGTGGAATACATTGTTATATTAGGTTATTATTGTCATTGTTTATGTACCTTTGGTCAGTGACTATGATTTCACGTACATCCATCATGTTTCCTCCTGATGTTGGTACTTTCCTGACCTCTTCTATGTAGAGGACAACAACAAGCAAATCTGTGTGACAGGTTACATACGGTTAGTGACTGCTGCATAAAGTGTCGTTACTAATAAAGTTTATGTGGGTTAGCACTGTACTTACCGAATCGTTCATTTTTAAAGTTGGTTTTTGGAATTGAGTTGATGGTGATATAATTTGGCAGAACTGGACCTGCAGTTGGGTCTAGTGGTTCGATGATTGTTTGTCCGCCGAACGTAATCTGGCAGTCATTTTCTCTTTTTTGGTACTTTGGATCTATTGCTTTCAGTGGAGCATTTGCGATCTCATATTCTTTCCCTAGTTGGAGGACGTCCTTGAAAGTGTCTATTTCATCACCAAAAAGAGTACCTCCAAGATGGTTACCCTACACAGCTTACAATAGTGTTATGTGAAATGTTTATATATATTCTACCTATTAACATGTAAGTGTTTTTTATATTAGCTGTTGAAGTTGTGAGTTGCCTTTTATTTTTTGGTAATTTGGTTGTTGATTAAATCTGTGAATGAGATATTTTATGTCCTCTTTTTCTTTTTTTTTTTTTTTTTTTTATGGCTGATCGTAGAATTACAAGCAATTGTATATTTATATTAGTGTTTTTAGTGCCTAGTAAGAAAGTGAACATACCTCAGTATCCTCAAATACAAGGCGTTGGTAGCGCTTCTTGTTTGGTGATTGTTGTGGCTGTGATTTTTCTACACTTTGGATCTTACTTTGTAAGCTTTGGTGCTTGGAGTTAGTTTCCCGAGTGAAGTTTGTTCTGGCTTCATGATTAAACTCTGCATCAACATATATGTACAATGCAAAACAAAAAGTGTAAGTTTAGAAACGATTTGGATATAACCAATGTGATATAATACTTGTGTATTGAACAATACTGACCTTTTTTAAAAGTGAAGGAGACTTTGGATGGCGTTGGTGGAAATGACAAAGAATAAACCACATATATATATAGGTATATAGTGTTGTTTAAGACCAATGTGTCAGTTTCAAACTTATGCTTTGTTTTAATTAGAATTTAATTTTATTGATAATAGGAACTAAATGAACAGAATTTGAAAAGAATTGTACTATAGTTATTTGTAATTAGGACTAATTATTGCTAATTATTTTTAAGTAGTATTGGAAGCTTCCCGTGACTGTTTGTTAACAGAAGATGTTGTGCAATAAATGTGCTATAACCTCTCAATTTAACAGCCTAATGGTTTATTTGGTTTGCAGTTCTGGTTGTCTGACATTGCCCAAAAAATGTTGTAACACATGGAATAACATAAATCTACTGACTTTTTCTATTCCCACTATATGAGTCTAAAATTGGTTTAAGTCTACTCATCAATTACATTCATCAGTAATTCTAAAAAGTCTACATTGTCAAATAAAATGGAACATAGGGGGCGTTTTTAATATAGCTAACAATTTCAAACAATATACTAAATTAGCATTTGAAGGTAAGAATAGGTTCAAGCAAGGAAGAGTTAAGAGTTGATGCACGTTACCCTTGGCAAATTACCATATTATACTTAAAGTGAGAATGTGTTCAAAAAAATAAAAAAAAAAAACTTAAAGTGAGAATGACAAATCTTTAAGCATGAAGTGTTGAAAGTTTGGCACATAAATGAAGCTGTAACAATTGTGACATCACATAAAATTATGATATTGTTCTAAAGGGTGAAAATTCCCCAAAAGTAGCCAGAAAGCTGCATCAAATCTGTGAAAACCGCTATGTCACGAAATATTGTTTTTGAGAAATTGTGTCCCTGACTTTTTGTCCTTACCTTATTAAGTTTTATGGGTGTACAGTTATATTTCGTGGAAAAGTGCGGTCCAAATTCAAATAAGTCGATCATAGTATCCAAAGATTCCAAAGGATAACTGAGATGTTCACAATAATGTACTTTTAATAGAAAGTGGCTAAGATCATAGAAGCTATACCTTTGCTCTCGAGAGATGGAATCTTTTGAGAACCTTTACCACCTTCCTCAAGTTTTGCTGCTGATATATCCACTACCACAACATGACCAACCTGCATACAATCAATGATAACCGAGATATATATATCAATCACCTTCAGTATGCAGAAGAAACAATAAGCAATAAAATCGCATCAGTAAAAAGATTACAGGGATGAGATTGTGCAGTCAGACAACGGGTATATGTATATGTAAACAGGATTTTAAAAGTGGAAATTATAATGTAAGAATCTGAAGCCTCCAGTTCTGATCAAGTACCTGGAAGCTAAGAAGTGGATAACAGCAACACTCTGTTGTACAGTAGCATCAGTTTTCCCCCATTCAAGATATCCATCTCTAGTCCCACTGTGTTCATTCCCATTTTGTGAACCGGGTGCTGCGTGCAGGTCAACTATAACCTGGTTACCATATTTCCTGCAGGTTCGACACACACAAATAACACCATAAGTCCATAATTCACAAATTAGTAAGTCATTGTGAAGGTAACATAGAAAGGAAAAATAGAAAAAGACATATTGTGCCCAAGTGAAGGCGTTGTCCAAGGTCTGCAAAGACCCTCCCACAAAAGGCTTAGGGGGTGTCGGGTCACTGGGTATCCACCATCCTACAGGAATTCTGTCCATTCTGAGAAATGAACCTGAAATCGTCCTCAACAATGATTGTGTTCCATTGTTCCTGATATAATTAACATATTCTTAAATCTGTCAGAATGTTCCTAATAGCATTACTACTTTTGAAGTTCATAACCTTGAATCATATATATTTCCACCTCTGTATAAATTTCTGTCCCAAATCATAGTATCATACCTATCTTCTTCTTCCTAGCTCTAGGCTGTAGCTTTTAAATTTGTAAGCATAAGATCATTGATACTATTTTCATATCATCTGTCAACGCACAAGTTACAAATTTCCTATCCACAGGGGTTATAAAATATATTTTCATATCATCTTTGGGTGTCGCAGATTTTTTTTTTTTAGGAATTCATTCCCCATCCATTGACGTCCATCAAAATGGCAGATAAGGCTCTTGAAGCAGCCAATTATATTTGATTTTATCATACTCTAAACCTACTATCACAAACAAGCCCGCTAGCTTTTGCACATGGAAACACGTTGCATCATAACAACCAGTATATTCGTTTGATTTAGATGCTCCAGATTTATCCGTTGGAACTGTAGCTAGTGAATTGGTTTTTGTAACAATTGATGGCCTCTGTGCAACAGTTTTTATTAATGTTGATGGTTTTGATTTAATTACATACATTTTGGAAGTAATTTGAAAGGTGGATTGAAAACTTTCTCTAAATATTTAATTTATTATCATGATATATAAAAACAGCTGACGTAATTGAAAATGGGAAAGAGGATAGACACTAACATGATATACACTCTGTGTTGACATTTCACATATATTAACAAGTTCACATGATGAATGGAGGCAATCAATCAAAAATATTTTAGTAGAGTGCATAGAAAATTGATTTAGAGATAGAAAGACCTGGTTAGTGAGATGATGGGCCGCACCAAGGCCACCCAACCCAACTGCCAGAAATCTTTTCTTTTCTTTTCTTTTTTTGGGTTGTGGGCCGTGATTTATGGTACCGTCTGCCCTGCACCAAAATCTTATACTCTTGTTATGTTTAAATGATTTTGAAAGAAATAAAGGGGTAATTTTGAAGCAAGACAACATTCATATAATGTAGACATCATTCCTAGTAGAAATCTTAACAAAAGACACACCAATTAGGAAGTAGTTGCTTCTCATTTTTAGAAGAAGAAGTAATAGATTGTTTCAAGAAACAATAACATTTTGTTTTATTTGAAGCTGAACTTAGTTTATTGAAATATTCTCCAACATAAAATGTTAAAGTTGACTGAAATTTTGGTTAGGGGACATCGTGCAGATAAGCTGACCGAAGTTCCTCTTTCAGTTGTTCCTGTCATACAAGAATGGGTTTGACTTTAACAGCTACACATTAGGTGAACAACATACATTATCAAAAATAAATCAAGAGGCTGTAATTATACTGACCTTGAAGGAGATTGCTGTGTAACACCTGATCGTAGTAAGATCTCAAATAAAATAACATTTTTTGCACTGTACAGATGCTGATCTTCAGTTGTAGGCTTTGTGAGTACCCTTACATGTTTAGAATTCCGGGCCCGAGAAAGGGCAACATATAATTGTCCATGAGAGAAGCAAGGTCGTCTAAGGTATATCCCTAATTGAGTGAGTGTTTGACCCTGGGCCTTGTTGATTGTCATAGCAAAACAAAGCTTGATTGGGAATTGTTTTCGCTGGAACTGGAACGGGTAATTAGTTAAGGCAGAGGGCTGCAAGTCAATGCGTGGCAGAAATACATATTCACCAGTATGATGGCCAGTTGCAATTACACACTCAATCATGTTAGGGTAGAATCTTTTGCATATGAGTCGTGTCCCATTGCATAAGCCTGAGGCTGGGGCAAGGTTCCTCAATAGAATAACGGGGCAATTCTCCTTGAGAACCAATTCATGTGGACTCATTCCTCTGGGGCATAAAGTGTTTAGGAATTCAGTTGTGTAAATTTTGCAATTTTCATCAATCAACACATCAAAACTCTTGTAGGTTACAGCCTCACCAAGGTGTTTTGAAATTAGCATAGTATTTATCTCATCAACATCATCGTTGAGGGGAGTCAAGATTGCACGTTCAGCGAAGATGTTGTTACTGAAACCACCTGCACTTAGTTCTAGGAATATTTGGCTTAGTAGCTGGTCCAGAGAGTAGTTTTCATCCTCAAGCGGCACAACCAGTTGTCTTGGTAGATGAATGTCAGCTATCTCTTCTGTTTGCATACGGCCGTCCCCTAAAGCAAGCAAGAAATCAGAGAATGCAGGATCAGTCCGGGCTCGCATGTTTTCAGTAAGGCGTATTCGTTTGAAACCATGGCATAGATAAGACGAGACTAAGCTTGCTTGTACTGCTTCTTTTTGTGATTTTTTGGGTACCACAGGCAATACTTGCCGAAAGTTCCCACCAAAGATGACAACTTTGCCACCAAAAGCTGTACGGCTATCACATAAATCCCTAAGCAACAAGTTTAATGATTCTACATTTTCCTTGATTGCCATTGATGCTTCATCCCAAATAATCAAGGAGCTTTCTCGTAGAAGACCAGCTAAGCTGCTTTGTTTAGACACATTGCAAGACGTGGAAGCTGTATGATCTAGAGGGATTTTAAAACGCGAATGGGTTGTCCTCCCAGTCACTATGTTTGAGGCAGCAATTCCGGACGTAGCTTTTGGTAGAACTATTTTGCCCATTTTCCTAACAGCAGCATACAATGCACAGTAAAGGTATGTCTTGCCAGTGCCTCCTGGTCTGTCAATGAAAAATGAACCGGGTTTGTTAAGCTGCACATGTTTAATGATGCAATCAAAGGCATCGCATTGGGCAAGGTTGAGCTTGTCAATGGCTTCAATGTATTCAACCGGTATTGTAGCATTGAGTGCATCGACAATATCCTTCGTTTGCCGTAGACCGGAGTCTGAATTGGTTATCAACACCCCTAGGCCAAAATCTTCCAAAGTTTTCCCCATTTCTTCTAGGAAACGCTCTACCCCTTGCACAGTAAGGGCCTTCACTATGTCTTCCATTCCTAGATTTTGGTGCCTGATATCTTCGGACAAATGAATGTAGTACTTCTGCCAAATGGCTAGGGGATCTCTTAGCATTCCGAAAATCAATATTGTAGCGAATAATTTACGCAAAGCTTTTGGCATATGTGCAGTAACAGCCTCTGCCATACATTTATCAACGACGTCATCTTCTGCCAGAAGACCAAGTTTCAAGGCTGCTTCTTGAAAAGTTGCACAAAGTTGGCCATTTACCGTTCGTAAATCTTCAAAGGATTTTGGTCCCCTTACATTAATTAGTAGCAGCCTGAGAAAATATCTTTCCCCTTCGGATGGAGCCACAAAAGTCAGACGCACTATGGCAGTTCGCAAATTAGCCCTCTTAGACCATGTCTTTGTAGCATGATTCCACACATAATGCGCACAAAATTCTGCATATGTGTATTTTGGTATGTTTAGGACAGTGTTGTTCATTATGAAGAACTCTGTTAATGAAGTACGGGCTCGGCGCCTATCTGAAACAACAGAGGCTAGTTGTTCATTGGGAGAGAACCTCACACTATGCTGATTAGGCAGGTGAATTAGCAATGTTACTACTGGGGGCTCATTTCAAACAGGTCAAACCCAAAGATTCTCCATGCGGATTCACAAGGGGATACCTAACGGCCTGCTTGAAACTGCTCAATCTCATTTACAGGGCCTGATGAAGCTTGTACGTTATATGATACCCGATCATGTCCTTTATAAACGTATTTGTAAAGGTACTTAACTGCTTGTATTGTTGAACATACCTCCACATTCAAGTGGCAATCGAATAAGGCAGATAGATAAGGGTTATATGGAACGACCCAACGGTTGTCCAACCTTTTCCTTCGAATCACAATAGACTCACCTGTGTCCCGGCGTCTGTATTCAGGATACCCACTTTCATGGCTTGTTGTAATATCAGAAAAAGACTTAGGGTAGTCGTATTTGCACTTCCCCTCCATTCCTCTATGCTTCATGCATGGGCATTCAGGGTTATCCTTCCCACATGGGCCATGTATCATATGGGTTAAGACCACTTTTCGTAAGTGTGGGTTTTCATGGGAAGGAATTGAAGGAGTTATGTCTTCTGTTGAGTCCCTTAGGTTTTGATTGATAGTTTTGAATGATGACAAACAGCTAAGGGAAACAGGTCCTTGAAAGTGTTCGATACAGTTGGGGGAACCAGCTAACATAGAACACTGTTTCCCCAGACAAGTTATTACTTACATGAGTTTTCTTATTGAACTAACTTGTCTTTATACAGGGAACAGTTATATGATAAAAGTGTTATGTACTGGTAGGGAACCAGTATGTACTGTTTCCATGGTTGCTACGTGGTACAACAGTTACTTACTTTATGTTGTGCATTAACCATGTTACATGTGCAGTAGTTGAGTTGATTCCAAGACTTGGAGCATAGAAGCCTCTCGAAGATATTTCGAAGAAAGATTGTTTGCTCATAATAGAAGTATTCAAGGAAGATTCAAGTCTTGAAGATTACATGAAGAAAAGACGATTTATGCTTTAATATGTTATCTAGGTTTTCATGTAATATGCTCCGTAGTATGCTTGCATGTTTGGGTTATATAAGTGCTTAAAAGTATATTGAAGTATGATATGAAATCTGGTACAAAGTTGGAACAGGTTTCATAACATGTTTCAATTCAGGGAACCAGGTCGGGGAACCAGGTTCACTGTACGAAATATTCGAGCTGCCGTTTTGGAAAAAGATTTTACAAAAAGATTTTTTCGAAAAGATTATTTTGAAAATATTTTGTGCAGCTGGAAATAAGATGAAATATTCTTGGTTACCTAAAAACTAGGAGTATTTATCTTAATTGATTCTATCTTTGTGATTAAATCAAATAAGATAAATACTTTCCTAAAATTACAATATATCTTATTCTCTAAGATTGTGTGATTTAAGGAAACTAGGTTTTAGGAATCTAAGCTTATATAAACTCATCTTATTTCACATATTTCGTGTGCCTCTCTAGAAATTAAAAGAGCAATTATTTGAGAGCATATACTTAAGCACTAATCCCATTCATCAAGTCATATACAAGAGCATTCTAGTACTTAAACTTTTTCTCTTAATTAGCTTCGTAGAAGTGAGATCAAAGGGGAGTTCTTGATTCTTGTATTGAGTCTTTAACAAAGGGGTTAAAGGCTGGGTGAGTGTTTGTGAGTTCAAACACATTGGGCTTACGAGTGTAAGTCGAGAGCACACTCGGAGTAGAGTGTGGGGTTTGCTGGTTCCCGGAGTAGGGAACAGCAGAGTGTTCTTTGTCTTTGTTTTTCGGAGTAGATTAATAAAGAACTTAGGATAGGAGGACGTAGGCCTGAGTTGGCTGAACCTCGTTAAATTTGTTGTGTTCTTTATTGCTTTGTTTTATTTCGTTAAATTTGTTGTCTTCTTTATTGCTTATTTATATTCCGCTGCGTACGGGAACCAGTACAACTGGTTCCTCACACATAATCCGAAAAGAAGCAAAATTAGCCAACGATTACTTAACACTCAATTCACCCCCCCCTCTTGAGTGCCCATTGAACCTTCAATTGGTATCAGAGCCTAAGCTTCTCGAAAGAGTAACATCTAGAGGAGTTAAGAATGAGTA